TGTGAAATCACTATAATTTTAGCTTTTTAATAGTAATAGGAATCTACAATAACAAATTCAACATGCCAGCATTGTTTAAGTATATGTATAACCTATACATCCTTAAGCATGTCAAACTCGCTGGCCACCGAGGATTAAGGATTACATATTAAATGTAATCTAGATTTATCGATGCAAATAGACTTCCTCCGTTCTTCGATTCCATAAATCTTACTTATTCTGATGAATAAAATTCGCAGTGTCATGAGACAAATTAAAGAGGGTGCAAGTGAATGGATTTGAAATTTAGGACTGAAAGCATCACGTGTGGATTTCTGTCCTTGATCTCTCCGTTCTGGCCCGAAACGGTAAACTTGTGAAATTGTTAAAAGTCAATTAGAACCGGGAGGAGAACAGTGGACGAAGGATGTTCGGTAGCTCTCGCATTTATACGAACGATAATTGATTTCCGACTCGACTCGCGCGGTTCTCTCGTTAAGTAAAGCAGATAAATCTTCGCTTATGCGTATTATTTCAATACGAGGCTGATTCGTAATCGCCTCGGCGGTGCTTGACCAATTGATGCGACAGCTAAAGTACCTGTTGCTTCGAGCGAGTAGTTTGAATTCTAAGGCCGTTCGAGTAAATCTATCGGATAGCTGATTAAAATAGTATTTAAGAAATATTGAATCCTGTTCCTCCTCGGCATAATAAATTATTTTTTTATCTCCGATTAAATCTTTATTTTATCGTTACAGTTTGCAGAGCTCGATTAATCGAACCAATTAGCATCCATCGAGAAATGATGGATGGGCACGGTTTCCCTCCAAAAACGAGCTCGCGACTCGCGGAGGGATTCGTAAGCGGTGGGAGGAATCGTAGGTGAAAAATCGGTCGGGCGACGCCAGTATATGCGTCTGCGAAAGATGCGATGGATAGACGATCGTTAATTAGCAGCCGTTGATTGGTCACCTTCCTCCTCGATATGTGCGAGGCCCTGGCCGGGGATGCAGGAGCGTATAAACGTGTTGCGTTCGCTCGTCCATGGGTGGGGGCTTATTTACTCGCTATTCAAACCATGCCGGGTTGCCCGATCGCCGACGAGACGGCGAACGCCAGTACGCGTCTGACACTCGCTGCGATCATGCGATTGTACTCGTTTACCGAACGGCGCATTGATCCTCTTCGATCACTGATCCCCGGTGTTGTGCCGATTAAAGTGCTCCCAGGGTCCTAACTCATTTTCTGTACCGGTTCTTTTCGCTGTAGTTGTTCCTCAATCTCGGTGGTAGGGTTTCGTCGAAATAAGAATCGTCAGTGAGCCACGATGGATCGAACGGGATCGAAGAACGTCACGCGATATTGATATGATACTTTCTCGTGGAATCAGACTGTGCAAAGTGATAGAATCGATCGAAGGGTGGAGGACGGGAGGGGGCGATCGTAAAGGATCGCGAGAGACACGGTTAAAAGTGGGCCTCGAACGGTCCCCGGGTACCTAATGGCACCCGACCTTGAGAAGAGGCGGCAAGAACTCAGGAAGACCAACAGCGGCACCTTGGAACCGGGCCACGAGTACTTCCAAATGCTCCTTCAGCTACGGTGCACCGGAAATCCACTGACCGAGCCCTATCGACACGGTAAAACTTCATTCCGTAGATCGCGCAGATTTTATTAATATTCAACGATCCGGTCGATTCCGATCGCGGCCAGATAGACAATCGATGCCTCAAGACGGAACCAGTCGTTGTTGGTATTTCGAGACTCGTGACTTTTTATTCTTACCCTTTTTCTCGTATGCATAATAAATGGTGGAGCTCCTATCAAGGTCCCGAGCTCGCTTTTATACTCGCGATACTTATAGATGTTTACATCCATTTCGTGTATACCAGATTTTTTAATATCAGAGTCGGAGTAGAAACGATTGAACAGAAATTGTAGGAGAGACGCGGACATAAATTATCTGATGTTTAACCAGCGAATATTCTGTGACACGTTTGTTGCATTATTATTATATGTTGATTTTTTCAAACACCCCAGTTATTGTTTCAACCAGGCCGGGAAGTGTGTTTGTACGGTTTTGCAATGATTTCACATTTTGTTTCTATTTGCGTTGGAGTTCAAGAAACTCGAGTGGCGCTTGTATTATGTTAGTTTTCTTTGGGTTTAAGACGTTACACGTAGGCGCCTACGCTCGATCGGAACACTGTTCCGCGTGTTATATCATCGTTGATAGATCCGAGATATTTTTATCAACAAAACTTTGCGGCTCGCATTATCTCACTTAAAAATATTACCGAATTATTCATTGGAGGAATTAAAGAACAGTAAATTGCGAAGAATCAGCGGCTGGATCAAATGATAACAGTTGTTGTTCTTTTTTTATCATTTTCCTGCCGCTGCTTTCTCTCTTCGACGAGCGTACGTACGTCCTCGAGCCGAGTCTTGTTCCACTTGTTTTCCTCGTCGATGAGTATATCTCATTTCTGTAACCTCCCTTCCCGCCCCCTCAATCGTTTCTCTCATTCGCCGTGATGCGGGTTATTCTGCTCCAAATTCCACATATTTATTCGTTTCTTTTTTGAACGCGGAACGGTTCTTTATTTAACTTACCACGCAACCGACGACAAGTCAGCTCTTGGCGGTTTTACGAGGACGTTCCTTCGTTCAATAAAATTCATTCAATCTTTCTACGTATATATCGTTCGATCGGATCTATGAATTCGATCGCGTCACGTATCAATTCCATTTCCCTCGGTTCGTGCATTGTTTCTTCGCGCGGCGCTACGCGTTACTCGTCCTCTACGTTTAATAGCATACGATGATTCTATTATCGACAGAACTCTCTTAAAACAGCCGATATAATTACTAAACAAATGTTGCCGTCTAGCACCCGGGAAATCGTGTCCAGCGATAACCTCTGCGAGTTACTGGCTACCACCCCGTTTCTCCAGCATCCGTCTCTCGTTCCCCTGCAAGCCTAAGCGCGCGCGCAATAAATCACTGCCCTCTCGCATGCTCGTTCTCCTTCGCCCTTGATACGCGAACCCACCCGCGCTCCCCGTCCCGTGTCCGATCTGCATATCACCGCATCGCGTATGATTCACTTGTTGGTAGCGAACCGAGCGACCTAGCCGAAGAGACAGACGCTCGCCATACACGCTTCACTCCTGCGGTTATCGCGGTAGCTCGCGCGTTCGAAAAGCGCTTTTGCGCGCCGCTCAAGCCGTTGCCAGGCGAATCGGAAGAACGAGACGAGCCAATCCGATTCGCGACGATTCGTCTAGAATCCGTCTCGCCCCGACCAACGTCGAAACAGCTGGTCATAAGTTTTTATATATAGACGAGCGTTCTTCGTTTTTCCATCTTATCGCGTGCGACGAATGACCATGACGATCGTCTGTTTACTCCACCGGTCCATTCGTCACCTCGCGCGATCCGCTTGAGCTCCGTCTGACCAGCCACCGACCGTTACTACTGAATTTCAGCCTCGCCACGGTCAGTCGCTTCCCGGCTGGCCGACGACTGGTTTCTTGGGAAAAGTCACAGAAGACGTTGGTATTTTATTGGAGAAAGTCCGTCCGATGCATCGGTCCGTGTTTTTGGTTGCGAGTGTTCGTTGCGTGGTTCTACGATACGGTAATTGTAGGTTGCGCAAGGACCTCATCTCGTCGATTTTTCGTCTCCACGCCAGCCAGCTATATAATACGAATACAAGTCTTCTAAGCGTTCCGGGTGTGCAACGATAATAAAGGTCACGCGGAATTGAGTAATTCTATCTAATCGTCGATATTATTTAATACATGAGAAAAAGAACCGAGTCGTAACAGCCGGAGTTTACGTACCGGCGATTATTTACTGCAGAAAAAAAGTACCAACGATTTCAGCGTAACGTCTGCACGTTATCTTAACAATACGATCAACCTCGATTTTCCTTCCGTCGCTGACATCACTGAAAAAACAGAGGATAGTTCAATTTTTATTCACTTCTGTTTTTCCGATTCGATTCGTTTTTTTTTTTTTTCTTTATTCTTTCGATCTCGATTACGATAAACGTCACCGTCGTCCCTGACAGATCTCCACGTGCATTTTTAATAAACGTTAAAAAAAAAAAGCGAGGCGTGGGCGATTCGACATTTTTATCATTTCCATATTCTACATCATTGGACAGTGAAGCAAGTTTAGAAGAATCAAATTTCAAGTCAATCGGATAATTGGTCTCTGAATTATAACTGCAGCAAATTTGAAGAATACCGTTCTAAGAAAAACGCGTTTTAATTATTATATTAATACTATTAGAACGCTGCCATTCTCAAACTATTTCAGATCCGAAATTGAAATTATAATATAATATTCTTGAAGGAATATAATATTCTTGAAGGAAATTTCGAAAAATGTAAGAAAAAGAATTAACACTAGTATAGCCCCTTCAATTTTAATTAAGATAGTTCTGATCGATTGATTGATAGATTTAGTAGCATTGATATTTGTTTCGAGTTACTCAAACGCAGCCAGTAAGACGATCGTTGAAATTAGCACGAATTAGTGTAGAATGTCGAAGCTCGCTACGTTTGACCGTGGAGCAGCTTAGGTGACACTTTTCCAAGTAGTTAGGTAGGTCAAGCATTGCATCGTCAGTGAATATTTAGATTTGATTTCCACCAAAAAATCCCTTAATAAACAAAAGTACAAAAGAAACATCGTCACGTGTAACAGACACGTTTCTATTCGGTACATACGAAATGTCAATCTCGATTTTCGCATTAGCATTTACTTCATAATACAACATTTCTAGCCAGTATCCACCTTTGGACGAGTTTAAACGAACGAGACCTATGAACGTGATTATGCGACCGTGAAACTGTTCCGAGAAACGATTGAAAATCAGATCGGGTTTTTCACAGATTTTTCATCGCCGTGAAACGCGAATTTTTCGCCGATCTCCGATAACTATCAGGCTCCTACTATTATTAATAATAAGACGAAACGCGAGTTACAAGTGTTTCTAGGATCGTCTGATCGACTAAGCGTTTCTGGGAACGTGTTGCTTATTGCTCTCCCGAGGAACCCGAGCATGATCGATCGTAACAAATGAGAGTCTCATCATGAGACCCTATTCGCATAGCGTGCATTCTTTAAGAAATTATCTGCGATCGCAGTGACTCTACTTTGAATTCAATTACGTTTTCAATGACGACTGGAAACACAGTTTCTCTCAAAGACGATTTACTCTGGCAAATAAACTCCGAAATATTGCGATCCTCGACGTATCATAATTAACACTAGATTGCCCAAGGAAGTCATTTTGACTGCTTTGGGGCAAATGTACAAATAATAATGCATAAATTTTTTTTCCCAAGTGAAGTAAATTTTTTTATTGTTAACATGTACTAATAACTTGTTACATGACTGTAAATAATATAAAAAATATTAAAAATTAATTTTAGACAAATTTCTTTACACATTATTCTTTCACAAGGAAGTCATTTTGACTGCTTTTGGGCAAATGTACAAATAATAATGCATAAATTACTTTTTTTCCCAAGTGAAGTAAATTTTTTTTATTGTTAACATTTACTAATAACTTGTTATATGACTGTAAATAATATAAAAAATATTAAAAATTAATTTTAGACAAATTTCTTTACACATTATTCTTTGACAATGCAGTCATTTTTACTGCTTTGGGCAATATAGGTATATACTAAGTTTCAGTCTTTCTAGTGTTAAACCGCGGATGTTATCCATTCAGAAAGGGAATTTGTGCAAAATATAAACGCTTAGAATTATGTAAAATATCGAACGGAAGCGTGCAGGAAATGAAAGAAATACATTTCTCCGAGTTTTGTTTTGCATAAAAATCTGCAATTTAATTATAATTGAATGCACGATGAACTACAACACTATTCTATACATTTTGCATGTAATTTCGCAATGTCGAAGGCCGTAACGTTTTCAGTCGGTTTCGCATTGCCGCAATTACGTATCGGACAATTTTTATCAGGGGTGGTGCGTGCGATTCCACTTGATATTCCGCGTGCGTTGGACATAAAAAAAGGAACGAGAAGGCCGCCAACTTGGTATTTCCTAATTTTCTACGACTCGTTGGCGCCTAAGCTCGGATCTCTAATAACAAACGTGATAAAAGACAAATCGAGGTATGAAGAAATTAAATTTCGATGGGACTGTTCAGGATTTAAAAGGCTGAACGTATATTTCAATTTTTAATCACATTTAATGAGTAAAAAAATTAATTGATTTTTCGATTAGATTTTGCCTAAAAATCGAAAGTCTGTTCATAAATTCGTATAATTTCGAAGATTCGATGACGACGTCGATCGTCGCGATGAAAACTCGCGGGACAGGCGGGTAGCATGGTTTCCACGCACGTGTTGCGAACATGTGCGCGGCCAGGCCATGGCGCGAGTGCGAAGTCTATACGCGTGAACGTGATGCTCGTTAATAATGCGTATGTATGTACACACATCGTCGAGTACTATACACGGTACCGTACGTACGTATGTACGTATGTACGGGTAACAGTGCGGTTGACACGAGTGGCGACGCGGCCAGAATCCGATTAACAGCCGGAGAGAGCCAGTGGCGAACGAGATTCATAATTCATGCCTCCAATAGTTAC